TGCTTAACCACGAACAATTCAAAGACAAAAATATGAGCGATAATCGACTGTGACCAATCATGCATTCAGTAGCTTTTCAGGTACCAAAAAGCATCCTCTTCTTCATTTTCGCCTTGGTTGTCGGAGATTTGACGACTATGATTGGTAAGTGATAAAGGTAATTCCAAAGGAAAAATAGTCCCAAGTCTTTATCTTTCCATTTCAGCGATGCTGCTGCTGATCATAGAACTCGTATTTGGTACATGGCGATTCAGCGCTGCCACATGCACCTCATACCTGGTATTGGATTCGATGAACAAGTAGGTTTTCCTATAGGGAAATGACCTGTGATAGAGGAACTTTTGCGGGGTCACCCACGTTATTCATATGGATCTGAACTTGCTCTTTGTCGATCTCATAATTTTATGGCCTGATCCTCACCTTAAGTATCCCCTAAAACTACACGTGAATTCAGCAGTGAAAGCTGCCTTTAAAGGAATCTTCCACGGAAAAAGCTCCGCCTCCATTACCACAGAAAAACGATACCTTAAGGCCCCTAGCCTCATGAGCATAGCAAAAAGAACGGAACATAAGCGTTAGTTTCGATAATACTAATCCTACACACAAGACAAAATGATCACTCTTTCCGTGGAAGATTCCTTTAAGGTATCGTTTTCTGTGGTAATGAGGGCGGAGCTTTTTCCGTGGAAGATTCCTTTAACATGTCGAGTTGTTACCCTCGTTCTGTGCAACGAGCGTTCTCCCTAGTTCCATCGAATAAAATATCGTCCTTTCCAGGTTTGTCGCTCCGATGATCGTCTTTCTAATCAGTAGAACGTGCTATACTACCGTTTGCCTTGACAAAGCCAGAGGAGAGCGAGCTGCAACATTGAAAGTAAGTCACACATTATTTCTCGTGCTGTGGGGCCATGTGATTCGTCATTGTTCCATTTAGTCTAGCAACGTTAACTTCATCCTAACTGTAATAGACTAATTTGACCTCTGTGACGCGTTGGTATTGAAGCATCTAGAGAAAAGGTTTCCTTTGAGCAATCACCTGTATCACCTGTCGTCCCGTTGATCGTCGATTTGCTCGAGCGGGCGCCAGCAACGTCTCCATTCGTCCCTGTCGCGTGCTAGAGTGGTCCAGTGGATCCTCCTCGCTCGAGGGACACGAAGCCGTTCATTCCTTTCGTTCAGAGCTTTCGTGAAGAAGTCTGACCATCGGGCCGGCGGTCGTCCAGGTGTTCGTTTGACGTCCCGAGGGATCCAGTCGGTAACCGCTCTGGTCCAACGGTCATCGCAAAATCGCATGACGTGTCCGGCCCACCTTATCTTCGATTCCTTGGGCGAAAACGGCAGCGTCCCTGATCTTCGATCGTTGGCGTAGTTCGGCACTCCGGATTCCCCTCTGCACTTGCGTGTATAGGGTTACTCCTAGCATCGTCCTCTCGACAGCGCGTTGGATAACGCTGACCGCATGCTCGTCCTGCCTGCGCAGAGTCCAAGTCTCTGAGGCGTAGGTTAGGGCAGGAAGGACAGCGGAATCGAAGAGGTGGGCACGGAGCCGGATGTTCCGTAATAACTTCGTATAGCATACATTATACGACATCTAAGCGCTTATCAGAAAATATATAATAGCATTACCACATCAAAACAGGCAGCTCTAAAAGACAAACACAAGTGATAAACTCTAATTGAAAAAATAGTGATTATGTGGTGACCGCTAAAGATTATAATCATGAAAGACAGGATGAGACGGCACGATCGAAAACCAACAATGAGACTCATTCACAGCTCCGTTTTTTCAGACGTATTAAATCGATGTTTGCATGGCAACAGGAGGTCCTTCGACGTGTAAGTTGACCACATCGACAGGTGAAAGGCTACTCCGGGTTGCTCTCGCGCAACAATAAACCGATGGAAACGGAAATGTGAATGCTTACGGTATTTTTTATCAAAACATCGCTGCAGCTCTTTGCTGCAATAGCTCCGTCTCTCGTGTATGTACGAAGACACTCCTTTAGCTTCTCCACTGCCCATATGTCTCTTTCATGAACATTAATTTTATGGTAATTTTTGTCTTGAGGACGTCATAATGAGTAGATGAACAAAATAGGAACCTTCTTGCTGGAAACTGCTGTTAACCTATAAGGAGATGTGTGAGATGCTCAAAGAACTTGCCCTCACTCATTTCACTGTAGAAATCGTCAGTGCTGGATAAATATGTTCCTCTACAAGAACGCGATTCACTGTCCTTATAATGAAAGCTGACTTGTTGTCGCTGAAAGCGTGAACCACTCAGACAAGGGCTCCTGTTATGTTTCCCAGCATCGTAAAACTCACTTTCCTTGGGTCATAGTGCGGTAACGAGACCAACTTCAGTATCATGTCAACTCTTTAATTACATCGGCAGACAATATGCCCGCACACGGTATTGATCCCCGAACTGTGACCGTCCATAGTTCAGAACTTTACATGTTTGCCTGCAAGAGGTTTTTTCGTAACTTGTCCACAACGATACTTGCATACATATTAAGAAGTAGTCCAAGCTCAAATTCAGTGCGCCACTTTCAGTATGCAGCTCTTCAAGTGCTGATCGCGCTCGGCTGTGTGCCTAGGTCCTCGCTGTGGCGCAGTGTTCGCCGTATCTCCAGGTAGTCGGCGTTTTTTTTTTTCATGAATACGTGTGGTATAGAAAGAATAGCCAAGTGAAGATGCTCAGATTTTCACGATTTCAGGTTTTTACATTTTATATGAATCCGAACAATATTACAAACGAGGTCACGGTTATACGCAAATGTGGCTTCCTTCCCCACCAAGTAACCAAAGGCTATAAATTTTGTTTCATTTTATTTAAATTTATTTGTGCTCGGAAAAATAGCCAGAATAAAGTGAAGAAACCATTACTTCGACGGTGAGTGACCTTACCCGATGGCCAGAAGGCGTTGCGGTTTTGATGTCGTCATTGAACGTCATTGCGAGAAGGACGTTTAGGCAGTCTCACACAGCGCAATGAGGGTCCAGTCCATTGAAGACAATTTAACTGTGTCATCAAAACCGCACTGCCCTCCAGCTATTGTGATCACCTGCCTTCAAGACAAGTGGAAATCTCCACAGAAAAATGAAGCGCTTTACTTCTCTACAAGATGGACTTCGCAAAGTGATCCCAATTAACTAATACCATTTTGCTCAACTCTGACAACCATTTAAGCAGGCCTGACTGATCTTTCAATTGCTGGTGGTCTCAAGAGTCGTGCTAAGGAGAAGCACATGTTCTTTCGAGAAAAATCAATTTTGGATATAGTTCTCCGTAATTTCGCAAGATTGTGTTTGAAAATAAAGGCATTTTCCAAGATCAAATGGTGTGGTTCTCGCACACGAATGCGAATATGTTGCTGGGAAATGGGCGAGCAGTCAAGAAAAAGGACAAGAATCCAGCGCACACGCCCATAAGGGCTCACTCAACTTCGTAATCCCCTGTGCTGAGGCAATGAGAGACTACTCGTGGAGAGGAGAGTATGAGGCGACAGAGCACAACAGATGAGAGGGTGCCAGACAACAGCATGGTAAAAGAAAAAATTGCAGCTGCTGCAGCTTATTTTGCAATGACCTAGTGCTCCTGCCGGTCGATTTCCAGTACATGGGAATGCCACACCGTGAATGTTCAAGGGTTTATCTTAAAGACAGAAGAAAACCGATAACACGGCTTCTGCGTGGATTGTGCCTTTAAGGCAGCGGTTTTCTATACAGCGGTTCACATGCATTCTTTCTGTGCTGTCACGTAACTGGATAGGGTTTTCATCTCCATTGCAACGCCCACGATACGCGGTTGATCATTCTGAATTCATTAGTCCTGAGTGGTCCTCTCCGTTCTGCTGATCTCCAGCTTGGTGTGGACTTGGATCATCTCATGAATAATTGACTTTCATTTCTTTCGAACACATTTGGATACCCTTCATTCAATGAACTTCGCCCGTGCGGAAGGCACTGCATATGAGAGCAACAAGCCCACTATTATCCTATGTGGTCACATGATTATATGTATACATCAGTTCCTAAACCCATAGAGTGCACTTTATGAATGAAAGAAAGATTTTACTCTTGACAAGTTTTTAATGGCGAAAATGGAGTTGGAGCGGCCACTCCAATGAGCTCCCGGTCTCTTACATAGAAGCAGCAATCTTTACAAGCTCCCTCACCACACCTCTCCGCTGTGTAGCTGAAATGTCTGGCCTAGCTCGAATCCTTTTCTGCTCGCACTAAAGCTAAGTATGCAAATGCTTAAAGGAGGAATTCACGATTAGAATGAAGGTCGAAGAAAGGGAAACTGACCTAGTTGAGGGACCCACGGACCTCTTGAGGGTGCGAACTGACGCGCAATTCGCATGGAAAAATTTGACCTCGGCGACCTATCATGCCTCAAAGCTGGCGGGTCCGGCGATCTCCGCCCACCGATCATCTGATCACTCGCCGTAGTTCAATACGTGGCGAGTGATTAGATAGCTGAGAGAGCGTAGTGTTGAAGAGGGCACAGCGATGAGAGTCGCATCAATGCTCGAATCAACGGGCAAGGAAGGGGTCCATTTCTCGGGTTCTGGGCCGTTTCTCATGGTTCTTCCTTCTTTCGTGTACCACTCACCATCCCTAGGTTAATTTGAAATGGGTTGCTTTTTCATCGTGAATTCGTCCTTTAAAATAATATTCGTAAATAAGTTGATAGAAGATTCCACGAATTGAAGTAGGGGGTCACTGAGCCAGTCGCGTCTACAGGTCCCTATACTTACGTGATGACGCTGCTCGATGACTCCCTCCAAGTCCATTTTCACGTTATCGATAACTTCAATTCTAGAGATTCAATTCTGGTTCAATCTGGTTGCCTGCATAACCTCGTATGCCGTTCCATTGTTCGGTATTGTCTATTGGTATGTGTCGGTGCCATTTTTCTTGAAGAGAAGAGCCATCACCACGCTGGTTGCCTCCAGGTAAGAATATTTTCACAATACAAAACTATGAACATTGTTCTGGTTTTCCACCTCCCAAAAGTGTGGCTGCTCAAATATCTTCTCTTACGATTTACTAGTAGCTATCTCAATTCAAAGAGGACCACCGAATTTCCAAGGTTGCAATCAAAGTGGGAAAAGCATTCAGGCCATCTGAGTACAAAAATAGTAGCACACATCTAACTAGCTGCTAAACGTTTTCTGTCGCTGTTCATAACATTGCAGCGTGCCATAACATTTCTGGCCAAAAAATAGTTCTGATCTTCGTATTAGGGATGCGTTATATATGACGCTTTGCGGCTTATCGCTTTCTATCCTTAAAATCCGCCTCATATCATATCCTCATGTCAGGTCCATGACTGTTTTTAATCGCTCAGAATCCCACGATTCTCTGCACGCGATTGCTGCTTGAGCTTATTGCAACATGGTGTCAAAGAGTGGCTTCTTACAAATGCGTGAAGGGTTTCAAAATAAAGCGAAACTATCGACGGAAGGAAGCAGATGGAGACCAGGTTGCACAGAAGACCAGCAGTGTACAGTAGCTACCAGTATTCGGCTTTCGTGACTCAGAATCACGCTGAGCGGTCACCTTAAATAACTTTCGTTAGCCGATAACGATCATTAACTACCTTCTCATAATTCAAACAAAAAGGCTTATAATCAGGAATCCTCGACGTCAACAGGGCTTTCATTCTTCATCGAAAGTCATCGCTCGGAGCCTCGCTGGATCCTCCTTAGGCGCCGGGAAGGAAAAAAAAAGTTTCATATACATAACGGTGTCGAGACTCTCCTGAGTGTAAGCAGTCGCAGTTTATGGACACAACATCATAGTTGAAAATCACTGGCTTCAATTGTGTGATGAGCTAAATAAGGAATAGTATATACGATACAAAACACTGACAGTGCTCCATCAGTACGGCAGCTACAGACTTTGAATTTCCTACAATCTGTTTATAATGCTGGCTTTTTGATAGGGACAAGGTCGAGCGAAAGCATTTTTTTCCAACGCTAGAGTATCACTGATGAAGATTCTCTTCGTATCACTCGCTTTGGCATGATTCATTGATGTGGCCATTTTAGTCAAAGTTTCAGCTCATATGATGACATGCCCTATCTTAAGGTGGATCACGACGGTGCTACTCTTGACGGCTATCTACGTTCTCTGTTGGACTCCGTATTGGGTGTCGATGTTTGCTCATAACATATTCTCGATGGAAAAGAGGAGCAGTGAGTGATTTCCCAGCTCTAGAGTCAATCCGACCATTTAATTAAAATTCATAATGAATAAGGGGCTGCTGGTTTGAGGAGCCACACGAGCAAAAACTATGAGTCGTGAGAGACATTTATATCCAGCACACCCAATCATGACTACCTCGCTTAGTTGATACTGACTCGTATCTGCCTTTTCAGGAGAGCGTCTCATAATTAACAAGAGCAATCCTAAGACAGCCCCGACGGCCTTAGACCGCCCCGAACGGACATTTCAATAGTTGGACTAATGTTTGGGAGCAGAAGTGAGGATGACTTCCTTCCACAGCGTCCCTAAGCCCACAGCCCACAATGAGTGCACAAATTGTAGTATATCAAAGGGCGGGTGTACAAAGGATGGAAGGGTGCTGGTCAAAGAAGTGGACTGCGCTGTGAATTACCCAATACCAACAACTTTTTTTCAGTGATCATCGTTTCGTACTTCATCCACCTCCTGCCGTACGTCAGCTGCGTCGCTTACCCACTGATCTTCACTTTACTAAACAGAGGTACGTCCTTTCCGTTTTTATGCAACCCCCTTTTATTTGCGAAATGGCACCCTAACGAAGGGATGCACGAGATGGAGGGGACGTCGTGAAACGGTCAACGGTCGTACAGATCCCAAAATCCTGGCCAACTGTGTACAATTCCTGTAGGCTACAGTATACTAGAAACCATACCCTTCTTCCCTATAGTGCAACTGAGAATGCTCAAGCCTCTTTGGAATAGCCGACCAATGCACTTATTCTCATCATGAAGAGCTAAGGTATTCCCTGTCCATGGACGTCTCTTTCCCCGAGTTACTCATTTCAACCAAATCCTGTATCCACTTTTTTATATTTGCATAATAAGATGGCAAACAGTACAGTGGTGAAGAAAAAACTTAGGGAACACAATAACATGGGGAATGAGACTCCTTCACCCGCCTATTTCGTCACCACTTCTATCGCTTACCATCAACCAATCATAAGCCAAGCTTGCAACCAGGAAGCGTGGCTCTCCACGAAGGCGGCGATCACCAGGGCTACTCCTCGGTAGGCTGCTTCGGACGCGCCCTTTGATGCGGAAGTCCCGCGTTTCAGATCTTAGCCTAGTTCCCTTTACAATAGACACCGTATTATCGTATTCCCTGCCTTCGTGGTTCATTTGACCGTTCCCCTTGATTGGAAAGGTTTCAAGGCACAACAACTCAATACTCCTAATGTGGCTATGGCCTTTCCCTCTGATTGATATTGATTATAGATGCCGATTGAGGTGTTTATAAATGCCAACCGATGACCTCATAATCTCCAAAGACGTTCTTTCTTCCAGGAATTCGGTCGGCGCATGCAAAAATCGTCCAGGAACAACGCCGACGTTTCCGCAGCATTACGGACGAGGCGAGCAGCCACGTTCGCAACGCATTACGGT